CCCCCCGCCAAGTTATTAAAATGAAGTCATGCAGCAAGTAAAGATATTTCTCCTGAGAGGGGAAAAAAGATAATCTTGGACGACTAATGCCTTTTGATTAGGGGCTGTTTCACACAGGTGACTCTCACAGATCATTGCTGCAACATGTAATAAACCTGTTCTCACTTACAATTCTGTTTATTTGTAAAGAGGATGAAGCAGATTCCATCTCCAAGGATTTTGGCAACACATCTGAATTATGATTGCCTCCCCAAGTCTATTTTCAAGAGCAAAGCCAAGGTGGGTTTATTCTTTTTCCAAGAACAAGCCTCATCTCTCTCACAGTACCAGCATGCAGAGTAATTCTGGGGCCACATCCTTTTCTTGCACCCAAGCAGGTGGCACTGGGGGAAGCAACTTCGAGACAGTGGGATGCCTGGGCTGGCTTAGGACCCCCTACAATTTACAGTAGCCTTAGGGGTGCTGTAGTTGACATAAACAAGAACAGATCTAGAGGCTGTTGCAGTGCTCAGAGATGGCGGGAGTGTCACACTTCCATTTTTTATGCTGCTCTTTTCTGTGCATGACCGTGGTGGGAATGAATGTGGCAGCAGTATTCCTGGGACACTGGCTGTCTCCTTGCAAACAGTCACACTGTTAAAACTTTAATATTTCTGGTACTTGGTCACTGAACAATGGCGGTTACATAGCACTTAGGAAATGTACCACAGGTGAAGGAAATAATTGGGTAAGGGTTGGGGATTTTTTCCATCTTTCATTGGTATTTTTTCCTGTATGAGACAGGAAAAAATACATCATGTATAACAAAAAAAATTAATGTGTATAACGTGTTTCCAGAAGTGTTTATGCTTCTCTGAGGATTACAGTCTTTTAGGATTTCAAGAACATTATTGCCATGCTTTGAAAAATGGGAGATGATTGTAACAGCTGTGGTTTCCTGAAGGAGAATTGAACAGAGCTTTTCCTAGCTGGGGGCCGGCAAATGGTTCCTTACAATTTCCTAGGTCTTAGGTAGTTATGGGATAGTATTCAATGACAATATTACAGTCTTTCCAGTTGCTTCTTTCTACAGTTGCTTCATGACATAAGCAAATCTTAGAAGTGGTAACAAGGTCTTTATTATGATCACATTATAAATTTGTTCTCCATGCCTTAACTAATAAAATATTTTATAGCCCCCAGTATGTTACTGGTTGCAGAATGTTTGGTTATACTCTCTTTTTGGTTGCCAGGGGAAATAAGTGATCTAAAATTGTTGACCTCTTTCTCCCACTCCAGATACTAGTGCTGTTTCGAAACCCTAAAGATACAGCTGTTTCATTTTTCCATTTCCACAACAATGTGCCAAGCGTCCCCAGTTACAGCTCCTGGGATGAGTTCTTCTCAGAGTTCATGAATGGGAAAGGTATTGTTATAGTTACTCAATGTAGCTGAAGAAGCAACAGAAAAAAATATTTAAAAACAACTAAATGGGCCCAGTGGGAAAACAGCTGTGTCATAATTAGTTTACTGATGGCCATAAGTCATGATGAAGGAGGTAGCTGAATGCCAGAATGTCCAAAAGGTGCTTTGCTTCTGGGTATTCTGTTCTGCCAGGCAAGGGTGAAGGAGTTGCATGGCAGCTTGACAATGGCATTGGGTCAAAATTCTGCCACTTAGTGATGGAGGAAATGCTACAGATCTGAAGTGGTAATGAAATGACAGTTTGTTGTCTTTACTGTGTCTGCACATGACGCCAAACACCTCATTAGCAACCCAAATTTTAGATTTAGACTGACGTCTGGCTTTGGCTTTTAAGAGATGTTTAAATGACAATATAGTAACATATGTGGAAACCATTTACCTGCCAAAGTCCAGAGGAAGCCTCTGTCATTCTGTTGTACAGTATGGTACCACAGAAAGGACGGCTGTTCCATTTGTTTGCATTGATGTAACCGATAGGCAACAGAAGGTAATTTCTTCAGTCAGAGAGAAATAAGTACCCAGTAAGAAAAGGTCACACTGATGCTTTTTTCTCTTCTTTACAGTCAGCTGGGGGTCCTATTTTGATCACGCAGTGACCTGGAACAAACACATTGATGATGAGAATACTATGATCATAATATATGAAGACCTGAAAGAGGTAAAGCAGATGCTGTGTATTGACAGACAAAACACTTCTGAGCCGATTCCTTGAAATCTGCTGAAATTAACAGCAAAAGGCACAGGTTTCTGAAAGAGCAAAATCGAGTTGATTTTAGCAACAAGTTGAGTCTGGCTATACAAAAGCTGAGCTCCAATGTAATGCAGAAAACATACTGTGAAGGAAAATATATATTGTTAATAGATGATGGCAATGCATATCGCAAGTGGGTAACTCCTTTTTCAGAGGACGCATATTGCAAGTCTCCCTTTCACTGTATTGCTTTCAGAACCTGACTGCCAGTGTAAAGCACATAGCTGAATTCTTTGGATTCTCCCCAACAGCAGAGCAGATCCAGTCCATTGCAGACAGGGCCACTTTCCAGGCAGTGAAGCATAAGGCGCAGGAGACTCATGGCGCTGTTGGCTCATTTCTTTTCTGCAAAGGTAAATTTGTTTGTATTTTGTCGGGGTGGTGAATGGTAGCACTGCATCTTGGGCAGACAGGAATTTGGATCAGTAGATGGTTAATCTTTCTGTATAATTTTCAAGGTTGGGAGCTGCTTAAGAAATACCTATTGTGATTCAGGATGCTGTCACTTGATTTCATCACAAGGGCCAGTACCATTAGGTAAAGCCCTGTATAATGTGATTAGCAGAAGTGCCCTACAAGTAGCTCACCCTTCAGTCATGGTATGCAGTCAGCACCAATTCAAACAAAGAAGAGTTTTATTTTGGCTTCTGTGAGTAGTGGGGATAGCCTGGCACTCGGTCTACAGAGTGCCTCCACAGATTTTTTTCTTCTTGGGTTTTCTGAATAACTCTTGTGATTGCTTAAGAACCTCAGTCAACACCTGGAATCCAGACACTCCACAGATTCAGCTGTGTCTTTTAGCCATGGATCAAGCTAGAGCTGCAGACTCAGACAACCTCAGACTGAGAGCTCTCCAAAATCTAGATTAAAGGTAGACTACAGTTTAGGGCAGTGTCTGGTTGCAGTGTCCTGGTTTCAGCTGGGATAGAGTTAATTTTCTTCTTAGTAGCTAGTAGAGTGCTGTGTTTTGGATTTAGGATGAGAATAATGTTAATAACACACTGATGTTTTGGTTCTTGCTGAGAGAGTTTACACTGGTCAAGGACTTTTCAGCTTCCCGTGCTCTGCCAGGTGCATAAGAAGCTGGGAGGGAGCACAGCCAGGACAGCTGACCCAGACTGCCCAAAGGGTTATTCCACACCATATGATGTCATGCTCAGTATATAAGCTGGGGAAAGAAGAAGGAAGGGGGGGGACATTTGGAGTGATGGTGTTTGTCTTCCCAAGTAACCGTTACGCGTGATGGAGCCCTGGTTTCCTGAGGATGGCTGAACACCTGCCTGCCCATGGGAAGCTTTACCTATTAAACTGTCTTTATCTCAACCCATGAGTTTTCTCACTTTTACTCTTCTGATTCTCTCCCCCATCCCACCGGGGGGGAGTGAGTGAGCGGCTGTGTGGTGCTTAGTTACTGGCTGGGGTTAAACCACAACACAGTGCACAAAGCTCTTGCAGTTAAAAGCCATATCTTTGAACTTTCTGGGTTGGTTTCACAACTGCTGGTCATCTTTTATAGTCTTCTGCAGCTGTATAAGACACATGCCAAAGCTATGAAGGCAGACGAGTAGCTTCCTATGTTCGCTTTATGTTCACATTCTGTTGAGGACACCAAATATAAGGCAAACATAAGAGTGTATTTGTATTCTTGGGTCAGAGATTCTTTTCTTTCAGGGGAAAAAAAAAAAGAAAAAATGGATTATCCTGAGATATGATAATAAGAGAGACAAGGTAATGCTTTGTTTTAAATCATACTCTGTGGTCGTTACAGTCAAGGGTAATATTTTACTTTTCTTTATATTCCAGGTGTTGTTGGAGACTGGAAAAGTCTTTTCACTGAAGCACAGAACCAGGAAATGGATGCCAAATTCAAAGTGTGCTTAGAAGGAACTAAGCTGGGGGCGAAGTTAAAATATGATGTGTACTGCAAGGCCTGAACCTCTTTTAGAGAAAAAATTAATGTCCAGGCTGCTTTTCCTTCACTTTTATGAAATAAAACAGAAGCCAGGACAATATCTGGTTTAAAAATTTTGAAAATCCATGGAATTTGCAAACCTGTTTCTGCTGTCCTAACTTACACAAGAAGTCCTTGCTCATGCAGTTAGTATCATTGACTTCACTGTATTCTCTTAAATGACCTGTAGTTCTATGGCCTCATTTGTATTTTAGCACTGATTTTTAGCTATGATTTCATGTTACCTGGTACAATTCTGTATGGAATATATATGCAGTAGTTAAACCTGCTGAAATCTCTGGAAATGTATGCAGTACATTGGAACTGATTTTCCAAGAGATTTTTTAAAACAATCATGAAGTGTCATTTTGATTCTTAATTTCCAAGTTTGTACTATTCATATATAATTTTAATTTCTAAGTTCATAGTGTAAAACGAAATTTCAAAAGGTCTTGTTGTAGTTGTCATTTGCCACTTTCTGTGTGCTGTTAAATGTGTGAAAAAGTAAAGAAACTCAGTGGTGGAAATTTTCTCCCCCTTTCGGCAATAATATTTTTCTTTCCTTTGGTAGTTCGAGATCTCGTCCTGAGCAATTGAAGGAATTGCCTTGGACATAACTTGCTCATGGAGGTTGGAGTCCCGCTCCTGGTGGTGGCTTGCTTTGTTGCTTAACCTCAACACAGGGTTACCCATGGGGGAAATGAGGAACACATGTTGAGAATACCAGGTTTTGTCCACATGATTGTCAGGACTCCTGAGCACCCACCCTGCTTTGGATGTTGAGGAAGCACATGCAGAAGCTCCTGCCTGGGCAGGACTGGGAGGAAGTCAGTTCTTCATGGTATCAAGGCAGGAGGGTTGGTAACCATCTGGTTGACTTGTTTGGAAGAAGGGACTTTTTAGACATGAGAGTAGGAGGTGTGCTACTTGCATAACTCTGGAAATGGAGCCTTTGCCTGGGTTGTCTGGGTTTGCCTGGGTTACTTTATCCCTAACAGTAGGACATACGATTTCAGAGCCAGGATGTAGGGTTTTTCTGGACGTCTGGGAGCTTTGAAGTGCCACTGTGAAGAACAGAATGACTTTCCTTTGGTGGTGCCAGAAGACTGGAGTGCACCAGATGGTTGAACATTGAACGGTCTCATAAAGGGCTGACGTTTTAGGTGCAGTTTTCCCTCGGGAGACAGATTAAACACCAGTCTTTGATAGCTGGTTGTTTTCCCCACCAGAGGCATTTCTTTATCTTTGAAGAGAAGGAATACAAAGGAAAACGTACTTGGAGAAGGAATGTGCGGGTAATGGGCACAGAGCTGCTAATTTAGCTAGTAGGGGAGGTTAAAGTCTTCATAGTTTGTCAGCTTCTGTCTGAGAAATAATTCTCGTAAGTGTGGTAAATGACTTGGCAGAAGGAGTGTTTGTTACAGATGTGTTGGGTAAAGAGTGTACCTTAGCCAGGCTGAAAACTCAAGTATTGGGTACTTGAGGTGTTGGCACAGACAGACTCTGTGAGACCTTCTGCTGCAGACTTTGTTAGCCAATGTTAAACACAACAACTCCCAGTCATTCAGTGCTAATGAGAATCCCTTTCTAAAATTCTGCCAGTGGCAGGGGAATGATTAAGACAGGTTAACTTCAGTGCATAGTTAGGAACGTCTTGTCATTTGTAATCAGGTCTCCACAAAATCTTGTTTGTTTGTCTTTCCTGGCATATTTCCCTTGAATTCTCTTCTCCTGTTCTAGCTGTGTTTGCTGTAACAACGAAAACAGCTCACTGACAGCACAAAAAACCTCCAGCTGTTGGTCCTTTAGGTTGACTGGCTAAGATGCCAATGCCCCAAAGACTGGCATTCACATGATGGGAAGAAAGGATCAATGGAGATGTGAATTTGCTTTCAAAAGTAACAGCTGTAGTAATGCCCATTTAAAATAGGTAAACCAAAAGTGGGATACTGGTGAGGATTGAAGAGCAAAATAGAACACACAAAACCAAACTGTGTCAGAATGAAGTTGGTTAATACCAAACAAATGAAAATTTCAGGTCACTAAAGCTATCTATCTCAAACACATCCGAGGTTCCCTATAAGCTTTACATAGGCGCTGGAAAAAGCAGCAGTGTTCCTTGGGTATTCGCCTCAGCTGTAGCTGCTGCAGCAGTAGGTCAAGATCATTCCTAAGCAATTAATAAAAGGAAGTTCAAAATACTTTAGTTGAGGATAATGTTGAAACAGGAGCACTACTTCCTATTAAAGTAGGTTGCCTGAATTACTGATAGATCCGTAATAGGCAGCCTGTCCACTTAAACCACTGTATTTCTCAGTCTTAAGATTACAGTGAAGTATTTCAGGGCAGTTCAAGAGGAAATCCTATCTCAAGATGCTAAATAGGCTACTCTTAAATTTTTACACCTTTCGACAGGCAAGGTTATTTAAGCCGAGGTTGTTTAGCTATCAGGGAATATTTTATAGGTGACATTCTTAAATGCCTTCAGTCTGATCTGCACGTTCTTTTCAGCACATAGTCACATACTTAGTAATTGCTAGCTAATGATGAGCATTAAAGAACATAAAATATAAGACTAGTGAGTGTGAGGGTCAATTGATTTTTTTGCAGCTTTCTGTGTGTTGTGGGTTTGGTTCTGTTAAAAATGGTGTGGTGGGGTAACAGGGAAGAAAGCTAGACATAACGCCACCAGAGAAAGGGAGAATTTGTACCTTCCTCAAGCACTTAAGCGCATTCGGGGTGGAAAAGCACTGTCAAGTGCTTTGAGATGGTGACATAGAAGGTCAAATTCAGTAGCCCACAATAATTGCATGCATTCAACAGCAGCTAAACTAAACAAAAGATTCAAACTCAACAGAAAAATTAAAACTCCTTTTTGTGGAAAATCACCAGTCCTATATTCTTTCAGCCATACATATAGGGAGCAATTTTGGGTATATATTTTCCATTTCTATGTTTTATACTTTATATGTTTTCCCCTTTATACTTTTCTTTTTATTACGGTACTCAGCAGTAAAACTTTAGATGGTATTTTTGACACACAGCATTTAAGGAATATGTTGGATCATTCAGCTTCTAAAGAAGAGTTTTTTTCACTCCCTGGCCACAGTTTTGATTTTATTTTTTTTATTATTTATTTTTTATTTATTTATTTGTGACCTACTTCACACGTAGCATTTTCCAGCAGTTGTAGGTATTTATGATGTCTATACTTATGGTAACTGGTAAATGCTGCTCTATTAGTGCTTTTGTCACCTCCATTTCCCTTATGAGCTGTTCAGTAGCAACCACATGGCAGGAAAATATATTAACATGATATTGAAAAAGAGAAATTGGAGGTCGTCTTGGAAAAGAGAAGCATAAATATATCTTCAGTATGCGAGAGAGGGCTCCCTTGTGTGTGTTCAGGGTGTCAATAACCTAACCAAAAAGGAAAAGAATTCTAGTACTGAATTACCATAAAAGTAAAATGGGATCAAAGCAGACACAACTGAGCTCAATTTTCTCATTTACAAAATGCGAACTTTTCATATTGCAGCATTATGCAGTACATTAATTGGAAAGATAATTAATGTTGAATTACAATAGAAGTGCTATCAGGGCACATATGACATCCACAGGAACATCAAATAATTTTTTCTGAGGTTAGGCTGGCTATTAGAAAGGATGCCAAATGGATTTATAATGAAAGGAGACATGAAATACAGTTATCTCAATCTTGTTATGACAGCAAATGCCTGGACTTGTATTCTAATGGGGTTTTTTTGTTACAGTCCTAACACTTTGATCTGAATTTTGGCTGAACAATCACCTTTGATGGGGATTAGCACCTTCTGTTTTACTCTAAACACACTGCAGAGCTTGGCAATGTACCCTGGGAGTGTTGAAATGAGACTGGTCAGTGACAGTTACAGATGTTAATGTTGTCGGGATTGATGCAAAGGAGGGAAACAGAGAACAACAACATTATGAACGAGAGCATACTGTGTCAGTGCTGTGTCTGAGTGCGTTGCTAGAGCGCTCTGCTAAAACGTTATTTACGTTCAGATGTTTATGGTCATGGATACAATTGTCCTGTATTGCTATTGCACTTTGTAGTGCTTGTACGTTGGATAATACAAAGTATTAGCTGATAAAATATTGTTTGCATCTAATGGAAAGTTTTTTATATGATCATTTGGCTTCTGCAAAAACTTTAGAGGCTCGAGGAAGAGAGAAAATTAGTCTTTGACTTTGCTCAAAACATGAGGGAGTTGGGAGCAGTCAGGAAATGAAAGGAGGCTGGGAAACTGGTGTCTTGGGAGGCTTGTGTACTTGTGAGTAATATAAGCTTGTTGACATACGCTTGTGGGGTCTCCAGCGAGTTCCCTGCTGTTTTGCATTTTACAAACCAGTGAAGCCGTTTTCATTACTACAACACTCATTAGCGTTCCCCCAGCAGGTAAATAAGTCATAGTTTCGTTATTGTGTATTTCTGATATATCCATAGGCAATGTATTTATATTCAGAGGAAAAAATTAAATACAAGATAATCGTAGGCATTAGCCATGCCCCCAAAAATGTAAAAAAAAGCCAACAAAAAAACCCATTAAAATGGAGCGCTTATATTCTTCCCTCTTCTTCATTTGTTTTCTGCAGGCACAGAGAGTGATTGGAATAACTTCTGCAGGTGACCAGGCCAGTCTCTTCTTTCATTCTGTGGGCGACTATTTATGCTGTCCACAATTTTCAGGTTTTTTTTCTGGTCTCCCAGCACAATCCACCCTGTTTTTTCCTGATGGCATGGAATTTTTTTCCCCCTGACTGTTATTTATTTAGGAAACTGTTCATTTGTCTTCTTTTTGTTTGTTTGTTTTTTTTCCCCCCTGGCAAGCCACTGTGTTTGTCCTCACTTGCAACGTGTAAGCTTCTGGACACCCGCCTTTCTTGCTGCTGTGGTACCAGAGGCACAGTCAGCCATTTATACATCATCATAGAAAAGTT